AAAAAAAAGTTAGTACAAATTATTTCTTTAATAACTGAAACACATCCAAGTAGTATCCCTGGTGCTACTTAAAGATGAAATACTCATAACAATGGCAATGAGTCTTGAAACTTGGGTGGTGATGAAATCCACTCTACAATTCTACGTGGTACCAGGTCCAAACCTAAGATGCAGTCAACTGTATCACAAAGACAGGGCCCACACTGCCTGTAGCACCACTGGGATTCTAGTATCTTATTATGGTCCCTGCTAAACGGTAGAGAGAAATAAAGGAAAACAGGGGAGGAGGAAAGAAACTACTACCATCTGCTGCCCAACCAACAACCACCCCGAGCGAACCAACCAACCAATGACACATCAGCCCAACCAAGCCACCACCAACTATTACCCATACCCACCCTTCAACAAGCCAACCGAACAACAATCACCAACCAACCAACCACCCTCTCCATCACTGACCCACAAACCATCACCAGGACAGGAGCCACCAAATATCAATGACCACGACAGCCATAAAACCCAAACGGACTCAGCCGTGCCTACCCTCTCCACCAAAGCCACTTTGCCCACCCTCACCTGCTGGACCCTCTCGGCCGCTTCACCCCATCGAGCACCAGTCTCCTATTCCAACCACTCCTAAACCCCCAGTGATGACAGCAGGGCCACCCCATACCCAGGACCTCTCTCAGGATGCAGACTGCCAGAGGAAGACAGGTCAGGCTAAGTACAAAACTAAGAACAACAAGAGAAATTGAAACTAATACATCTTTAATCAAATGCCTACAAACTTCTGTCTTTTCTAATTGCTTCTTTGATATTCACAGAAATTTTATTACTTTTAAAAATGAGTTATAGCTTTGTTTTCACATCCCAAGAATTTCTAAGTACATGTTATGATTGCTAAGCAATCACAATCAACTGTAAATTATATTAGCCAAATGATAAAACACAAAATTAAAAGAAAAAGAAGACTGCAGGCATGGTGGCACACACCTGTAATCCAGCACTCAGGAGGCTGAAGCAGTAAGATCACCCTTTTAGGCCAGCCTTGGCTACATAGTGAGTTCAAGGTTCTTCTGAACTACATGGCAAGGCCTTGTCCCAAAACTACTATCTACTATCTAGCTCAGGCATGTATAGTACCACCAGGCTCAGCATGCAAAACAATTTTTTTTTTTAATCTTTCAGGACCAGGAATTTAGCTCAGTGGTGCTGCCACCTGCCTGGCAAGTCCAATACCAAAAACAAACAAAAAAATCTTTCAGACCAAGCATGGTGGTGCACACCTGTAATCCCAGCACTCAGGAGGCTGAGGCAGGAGGATCGCCTCCAGTTTGAGGCCAGTCTGGGCTACAAAGTGAGTTCAAGGCCAGCCTTAAATACATACCTAGCAGAAGGCCTTGTCTCCAAAACCAAAAGGAAAAAATTTCAAATTATTTTATGGCGATATACACAAAAACACACTCTTTTCAAGTGAAAGGCAGGTGTTTTGATTGTATTTTGCACACTTAGTTCTGTGCCCGTGGTCTTTAAACAACCCAACACCCCACACCAAGCCACAGGCTCTCTGGAGGCCTCTCCTGTGTCATAGCTGCCGGCAGAACATCAACCACACGGCCCGCTCCCTGCCAGATCAGCCCTGCTCCGGGACCTGTCGCTGTCTGGCCCTCCCGATCAGCCATCAGGACACAGCTCCGCTGCCCCTTCCCTTTGGCATTGTGCTTCGTGGCTGCATGAACCCCCTTAGTGTGCAGAGGTGTAAATCCCCACACGCTCTACTGGGAAGCTCAATGACCAAGCCCACCCAGCACCCTGAGGGGCTCCGCATCTCCCTGGGAGTGAAACCACCTAGGTCCGGGCCTCTTGCAGCAGGGGTGGGGGATAGGACAGTCTAGAAACCGAACAGGAAAAGTCCCACCTTCGTATTCAGTACTCTCTGCCTAGTAAAATTTAGTGCGTCTTTCCATTATAAGCAGAGACCATAGAACACAGCTGTATCAGCAGCACCTGCGGCTATGTCACCAATGAAATCATATCCTTCCCTATCATGGTAGTGTGATGACGGCCTGAAATACCCCTTATGCCATTACTGTATCAACACTGTGGTAATGATGAAAATCGCTACTCGATCTTGTTATTAGACACTGTAATATAGATGTGCACTTATTAATTTCTACATTCCAAATTTTTATCTTTCGTTACTGTATTTCAATATAACTGGCTTCCTTTGTAACACTACCTATCCAGCTAGTTATATAGCCAAGGACCTAACAGAAGCTCTTTCCCTTAAAAAAGGTGGGGGGGCAGGTACTTAGCTTGGTGGTTCTGCCACCTACCTCGTAAGCACAAGGACCCGAGTTCGATCCCAGGTACCCAAAAAAAAGCTGGTTGTGTGTGTGTGTGTGTGTGTGTGTTCGTACATGATATACCCAGGCCTTTTGCCTTTTTATTTTTTATTTTGGGACAAGGTTTTGCTAAGTTTCCCAGGCTGTACTTGAAATTACAATTCTCTTGCCTCACCCTCCCACAATACTGAGATTACAGACATGCACCACCATGCCTGGGCTTATTTATTACACTTTTTAAGGGCTGGAATAGACACAAAAGTGGAAAGTCTGAAGCTCTGATGAACAGCCAGGAATGGTGGGTGTGCAGTCCAGGCTGGCCTTGAGCTAGTGACCCTCCTGCCTCAGCCTCCCAAGTCCTGGGATTATAATTACACACCACCATGTGCAGCTAGGCTCAAATCTTTGATAACACAGATTTCTCCTAAAAGGTCGTTCACCTAGCTAACATCAGCCACTCACAGGGCAACAACTTCTTATCTGTGTGCCTTACTAAGCATTTCACCCACCGTGGGTATAGAGACTGTCCTG